CGAGCTCTGAATATTCGCCTAGAATACTCATCATCCATTCTAATCATTTATGCACACCTGTTTGGTTGTGTGCGTTCTTCAGTCCCGTGCAATCAGTACAGTTGGAGCAACTATAATCGTCAGTCCTCTCTTCACCCTTTGAACCCCCTTGTCTCATCCTTCGTGCGCACATCACACTACGTACCTTATACAGTCGGTACAGTCGGTACAATTGCGACATTCGTCACAGTTGTCGCAGCCGGTACAGTTGTGGCAGTGGCTGCTGCTGTCGCAGTCGGTGCAATTTTGACAGTATGTAGAGTCTTTACAGCCCGTGCAATGCCGACATCCGGTACAGTCTATACTCGTTTTAGTTGCAAAGCTTTGAGAGACCGTAAAGAGCAAGAAATTAGTCAAGGTAATAGAAACAATAGATGGTTCTCAGAGAAGTGGCAAGCGCAAGTCCCTGCTTTTGCTACCCACACAATTGTGGCACGAAGTATCCTTGCTGCATCCGATGCAATTCTTGCAGTATGAGCAGTCTGATTAAACAAGCCAGAATCGCAGGTATAAGTACACCATCTTCAAATGGAGGAGCTAGTTGACCAGGCGATAGGTTGCGGCATGCGCGACATGGAATCATTGATCTTTGGGAACATCATTGCACAGTGCGTACCTTTGCAATCTGTACAATTTTGACCTGGGTTCGTTGGTGCAAGGTCAGAGTTGAAGTATCATGAAGCTTTATTCAAACTCACAATCCTTGCAGCCAGTGCAGTTGGTGTTGTTGCGATTGCCGTCGCCATCGCCGGAACGCGAGAACGGCATTGCACGGAGCGACGATTCACCGCATCCCATGTTGAACGTTCTTGTTGGACTATATAATAGGAGGCAATGAACTGAGTCAGACTGATAGAGTAATCATAGGCGCAAAAAGTGTATAGATGCAATGTATAACCTGCCCCAGGTTTATAGGTGAGGTGATGTGACTGGAAGGGCATGCAGCCACGACGTCATTTCTGACATGTAACAGGGTTATGTTAGAGAGCGCCTTATCGGTATCGACGGCCACTCTCAAGCTTCTCATATGAGATCTACCAATTGAAAAACTTGTCGAGGAGTAAATCAGGTTCTGAGGTCTAAACTGGTCCTACATCATGGCCTGAAGGCATACTACACATCGCTATGACGGCACATCCAAATGAGGCTGTTAGCTCCTCATTTCCCACATTCCTGAAACCTTTGAGTGCACATCGCAAGAATACAAGGGTCTACTGGATTTGCGTGTTTGTTGCCAGCTCCGACTTCGTCGACAAGACCACTACAGTTAGAGCAGCCAACACGTGAGCGACAGTCGTCACATCCCGAACAGTCGACTAAATCTGCTTGGGTTGACACAGTTTGTTGACCTCTCGATTCGACTGCAGCCAACGTTGTTATCGTCCATATTGGAAGCTAGTCGTTCCTGAGGCGCAGGTGGAGGCGCACATTGTTGCTGAAGCGGAGGTATAGAATTTTGATGAAATTGAGGCATCCGAGGGACTTGTGCACCTTGATGAGGTGATCGCGCCTGAGGATTTTGAGGAAGAGAATTCTGCGGCGGTCTCTGTGAACCTCCGTCGTTTGGATTCTGATAGCCGTGGTCTTGGCAACCTGTAGATGAGCCAGCAGCAGACCCTTGTAGAGTTCCAGCTCGATGAGCAGGTTGGACATGACAATACAAACAAGTCTTAGGTATGACGGACCAGTAACTAGGCGCAGGGCTGTATGCTGGAGGGGGTCCAGTTGCCTTGACGAAGGGCCGCTCGGATAACGAAGATGATTGTGATGACCAGAGTACGGGCGAACAGGAGGAACACGCGATGCAAGTGGTCCTACCTCGTGACCTTCGAAGCGGTTTGGCGGGTTTCTCCAAGTCTGCGGCTGCATGTGCGATGTATGACCATCACCAGCGCAAGATCCAGCTAGACCGCGCGCAGGCAGAGGCAAACCATGGCGCGGTGCCTGGGATGCATGAGGATGTTAATCAGTACGTATAAGATCGGAGGCGCGGTCACGGTATTCTCCGGAGAGTTCTAATGTCGACTCAAAAAGCTTTTCATTTATAGACGGTAGTGTGTCGTCGGCATCTGAATCTGGGCTTGATACGCGAGCTCGCTTTCGGGCTATGTCATAAGTCAGTCGCGTCACTACGTTGTTTCAATGACTTGAGACTGAGACAACGGATATCCACTTACAATCGTATCCAGCCATACTGTCAATTGCGTTGTGTAGCTTGGGTGATGAGTTGAGGAATTAGTAGTTGCAAATCCTGTATAGTCGAACAGGCGAAGGTTCGTTAAAGTATACATAGGACACAATCAGATGAACGCAAGGTTATTGTGGCACCCAAAATTCACTTGCGTATTCACAGATCTTCAAAGAAGAACTTAAGCAAACAGAAGTACACTGGTAGAAGACATCGTATGAGAACTGTTTTGTTTGGTCTTGAGTCAACCATTCTCTAGTCCTTTCCTCTCGCCCCAGGGCCTGAAGCGCATTGCCCTCTTGTGTTTTGCTTGCAATTCAAACGATGGACTACTCATACGAGGGCTTAGGACATCGTTGGGGTATCGTGGGGGGGGAAAACAAGCTTCCCATTGTTGGAAAATCTGCCACTTCGTCTTTACAGATTAGCGGCTTGGCATTAGTCTCGCGATTCGCTGCATGAGGTAATGATGTTCATTCGTCCTCGCCTTATTTCCGGGGGCGTCATGGATTGACGTGCTTAAGAAAAGTAGCTCGTCCAGCCGCTCCCGCTCCCGCAAACCACAAATCTTTACTTATCACAAGCATGCCATGCGGTCTCGGACTTATTTCATTCTCTAAGCTTGCTTGTAATCACGAATAGCAAGTAACAATGACGGATCCAAGCATTGATGCAGAAAAGAACACGGAGCGGGAGAATCATGCCATCACAAATACTGATGTGGAGCGGAACCTGCAGACATGGCCCAGCGCGCGCGACGTTGAAATACAAGAAGCCACCCTGAGCGCCGAAGCTGGGAACCAAGCAGCGCAACACATGCACGACAAGCCACATCAACCTGCTCTCGCACGAATGCTCTCGCGCCGCTCAGCAACATCATTCGATCCAGGTCCAGCTCCTGATGGCGGCCTCACAGCTTGGACTCAGGTTCTCTGCACACATCTGACCATCCTGACCACCTTTGGTTTTTTTACATCATTCGGCGTATACCAAACGTACTACGAGAACACCCTCGGTATCTCGCCCTCGACAATATCATGGATTGGATCCCTCCAGGTCTTCCTGCTCTTCTTTCTTGGTACTTTCACAGGCCGTGCTACGGATGCTGGACTCTTTCGCCCTGTCTACATCGCTGGCGCGTGCTTCCAGCTACTTGGTATCTTTACATTGGCTGAGAGCAAAACTGTGTGGCACGTCTTCCTGTCGCAGGGTGTATGTCTAGGCATTGCGAACGGGCTGCAGTTCTGCCCTTCGATGGCTCTGGTATCCACCTACTTTGTCAAACGTCGTGCCTTCGCGCTGGGCTTCACTGCACTGGGATCCTGCACTGGGGGTGTCATCTTTCCAGTCATCGTGCAACAGTGTCTGCCTAGCTTAGGCTTTCCATGGACGATACGTATCATCGGCTTCATCATGTTGCTCATGAACGTTATCACCATTGCGTTGTATCGCACACGACTTCCACCTAGGAAAACCGGTCCGTTGGTCGATTGGGGAAGCTTCAAGGAACTGCCCTACGCGCTGTATTGCGCTGGCGCCTTTTTCAGTTTCTGGGGCTTGTATTTTGCTTTCTTCTACATTGGGAGCTACGCGCGGAATGTCCTTGGTGCCACTTACCAGCAAAGTATCAACCTGCTTCTAGTGCAGGTCTGCATGGGTTTTGTCTTTCGCCTGCTACCTACCTACTATGCTGACAAAATCGGGGGCCTCAACGTTCTCATACCTTTCGCTTTCATCTGCGGTGTTATGATGTTCGCATGGATTGGGATCAAATCCACTGCTACCTTGTATGTATTTGCTGTCATATATGGAAGTGGGAGCGCTGTTATCCAGGCGCTTTGGCCGGCGGTAATCGGCAGTATGAGCCGTGAGAAAGACCTGAAGAAATCGGGTGTGAGGATGGGCATGGCGTTCACCGTCGTGAGCATATCAAGTTTCACAGGTCCACCGCTAGCTGGTGCACTCATTCAGAGTCACAACGGTAGCTACACATATGCGAATATCTGGGCGGGTATGTCGTTCTTTGTTGGAGGATGTCTATTAGTTGCTACTAGGGTATCTCTGGTGGGCTGGAACTGGAAGGCAAAAGTCTAGCGGTAGATCTGATCAAGTTCTTTGTTGACTTTCAGATTCCTCGGTTCTCTTTGTATCCTTTCCCACCCATTCTCTGAATCCGTTACTGACTTTCTTCTCTGTATCATCTGAGAGCTCGTTACTGTCTTTTGCTGATGATGGTCTTGCTTGCAGAAATTGCTCTTAGCGAAACTGACGCCAGCGTGAGCTTGTCGTAAGTGAAACAAGTTTTATACCATCTACAGGAGAGTGGACATCCATATATAGTGTGATTTCGAGAAGAATATCGTGCCGCCTCTGCGATAGTCATGCCTTGCATACCCATCGACGTCGAAACCGTGCTTGAACTATCGGCCCCTCTTATCTCCCAACGTAGTGACTCTTGCTAACAAGCCAGGCTCTTCCCTCTCCTTTTCCATTCTCGCATGCCAATCCGCCTCAGCTTTAGCTGCATTCTTCTTAGCCCGCGCTGTATTCCACCTCATGTAATAGCAGCAGAGCGGGAATAGTACCGTGCCTGTCGTGACCCAAGCGAACAAGACGCCAAAGTTCAAGCCGACGCGTGGATGTAGATCAAACAGGATGGATCGGGTGAGCTCAACCACGTTGTGCATAGGCCATCCATAACCCCAGCGATAAAAGCCGGGTGCAAGTTCGAGAGCGTAGAATCCAGTCGCGACATTACTGATCACCCAGAAGATCAACCACAGAGCTGTCCAGGGGTTCCCAAAAGCATGGCCATATTCTCGCTCGCCAGACCAAACGCGGTCATACCGATCCAGTTGACCATCCAGTATACCACAAACGTACCGCTACCGTATGCGTTGGGGTTATTGGCGGGCTGATCGTGGGCTGCTTTGGGATGGTCCATAGGCATGAGAAAGGCAAGGCTGACGAGGGAATAGACGAGCGAGAGTAGAAAGTAAGACGCGACTGTTGCGACATAACGCCAGATAATGAGCTGGTAGAAGTGCAGCGGTGGATGACCTCTAGGCGAGAGATACTTTAAATGGATAGGTAAAAAGAATGTGAAGCTGAAAAGGAGATGATGACTAGATATCGGCGTATGGAGTCAGTGTAGGTCTTGCATGCAGTTCATACAGGGAAACTACTAACTCAAGTAGATCAGCCCAATACTGACCGCGGGTGTCGCGATAGATGGCCCAAAAGGGCGGAGATCATACACTGCGAATTCGATTCCTGGAGCGAGAGCTTGGGGCGAAACGTCGACGTGCATGTCAATGACCGAGAGATTGTTCTGGAGGAGATGTGTGATCCACGCGCGACCAAAATCGGTCACAACGCGCTTTTGGAGCGTGTTCATGCTAGGTAAGATGTAAGTCGAGGACGTAGTCTGATCACGCGCAGAGTTATAGATGATCTGGCAAGCCCCCAAGGGATCGTAACTCGCGTTTCCCTGCCTCACTGCTGCCTCAAGCATCGCTGTTGCATTGGGGTTGATGATGACGGCGCCCATGCGTGAAAGTCGTAGACATTGTCTCGTACCCTGAGTGGATCGTTGTCGAAGTCCCCAGGTGAAGCAAACGTATAACCGGGCACCACGCCACCCTCGTCGATGATGTCGTGAATAGCCTGAGTAACGAACGGACCCACGAATGGTGTGACCCCTGCATAAGGCGGCTGACCATCGAAATCGACAACCCAGATGCTCAGGCTTTTAACATTCGCATTCTGACGAAACAATGCACCCCAAAAGAGACACAAGAAGGCCATGATAGCGATAGCGAGGATGAGATTCGTCCGGAACCAGAGCTTGATTACATGTAACCTGACGCCGGCCATGGACGAGTGGAAAAATCCAACGGGCTTCTGCTCGAGTTCGATCCGGCGGCTGCTCTTCGTGCGGCCACGCTGTAGTGTTGTCGGCCTGCTTGAAACAGAATTGATACCGTTGTTCGTCTCGCTTTGGAAAATGGTGGCTTCCTGCTGTGCGCAAGCAGAGTCTGTAGCTGCGAGGGCTCGCTCTCCTGTGTCGGAGTCCCCGGATGAGCTGGAGTCATATTCGTGATGATATTGCGGGGCGATCTGGCATCCAAGCATTGGTTGAGACATGTTGAGCGCTGTGGATATTGACAGAGGGTGCTTCAATTGCTGATATACCTAGGTGTCTTGAGGCCCGGGCACTTGATACTGCTGTGAGTTGCTGACAGATGAACGCTAGTAAAACGCTAGTAGATTTAAAGCGAGTTCATTGGATGTGAATGCTAGAACGATGTTTGGTCATCACCAGGGCTGAGTTAATCACTGGTACCTGCGCCACATAGTATCCAGGTACGCTGACATGACAAATATCTAACTGGGTAGCCAAAGGAAGGGGTGATCCGATGTTATAAGGGATGCCGACGCGTTGAGACATCCACGCAACCACATTATATCCTTACCTAGTCGTTTCTGGAGTCGTTACATGGCACGTGTAGTGGAAATGGAAGTGTTATCAGAAAGGTAGCCATAAGGGTTATATTGGCTTACATAAGCCCCGTTGAATTGAGGAAACACCTGGGCACGGTTCCGCGCAACACGCGCCCCACGCTCATTGCGCAACTCTCGTCATGACGAACACCAATACATGTGGCTGCAACCATCGCATCCGCACAGTGCCTAATCGTCGGTACATATTGCTTTGCGCGCCTGTCGAGAGAAGGCATGTCGGGCAGGGGACCTAGGGGTGGTCGCGACGTCGGACGTGGCAGGGGACGGGGTAGAGGCAAGACACATATAGTATGCTACAGCCAGGCCGCAAGGAACACTACTAAATTGCGTCTCAGCGGGAGTGGGAATCGTACACCCCTGGCGCTGAAGTTTACGAGCAGCTGTGGCGCGTTCGCAAAGAGCCTGCCATTGTTACCGCACGACTACCCAACGACTGCCCCATTCCGAATGCGCGAACACGAATACTGTATCGTCGGCAGACCCAGGACACTATCAAGCGAGAGCAATACACTGTAGAGATAAAATATACCAGTGAAGCTGGGGACGGACATGAAAGTCCTAATCGCACAGAGGTTGAGGATGTGGACTTGCGATGTATAATGCAATTCGTTTCTCCAGCCGAACTGGAACGATATGAAACGGAGCAGTTCAGACTCGAGGCAGAGGCAGAGGCCATTGCAATACGCACCGAGGCCGAAGAACTGGCGCGTCGGCAACTGCACAAGAATGCTAAAGCACCAAACACTAATAAAGGAAGTCGTATGCTCAGTGGATTGGGTCTTGCTGTCCGACCACCCACACGAGCCAGAGGTCGGCCAAGAGGACGTCATGGAAGAAGTAGGGGAAGATTGGGAGGCTTGGTGTTGAGTTCTCGGCAACTTGAAGACGACGTGCGCGAAGAGTTGGTGGACAGCGAGCCTGTTACGACTAATCGCCAAACCGAACGCACTGGAAAGCCAATATTGACGTCGCCCGGTTTGATGCGTTCAGCCTTTGTCGCTAACAGCGCCCTGCCGGTATCGTCACTACCAAGGAGGCTCTCTACTTCTCTTCCCTGGCAGAAACATACAGAGCTTTTAGTCCTAGAAGATCAGGTGGACCAGGCGCTCGCTAGCCACGATGCAAGGCCCGTGACCAATGTTCCAGTGCACTTGCGCGACTCACTAATACCTGCAGTCGAAGTCGAGGGTGAGAACATCAATACAGATCATCCATGCACTAGACCACACAGGATGGGAAGCATATTTTCGTCTGAACACCCCTCTGTCACACCCGCTCTCTCACCATCTACCGACAAATTTTCCTTAGCAGGCACCCGCGCAGTTCCGTTGCCCACACAAGCATCTAGTCCCTCTATTGCACCGGGCACAAAGCCGGACGACATGTTTTCACAGACACCGCTTTTCTTTGATCGATCGTCGATTGCAGCATCCGATTCAGATGACACAATACCTGCACAGCCACCGCCGCCGCATCACGAACCCAACAATGACGTGAACAACGACACTATGCACATGCACACCGCGCAACCAGACCGCCATTCACTCGAGTACGACAATAATGACGACGATGCGGATGCAGACGGCGCAGAAGAGTACGTGGTCGAAGCCATCGTGGAGCACTTCCAAGAGGATGGGAAGAACTATTATCTTGTTAAATGGGATGGATATGAAGACAGCCATGATTGGCTTCCCGAAGAAGATCTCGAGGGTGCTGCGGATCTAGTCGCTGAATACAACGAGCGGATTGGATGGAGGAATAAAAAGGTGAGGATGAGGTAAGGTTGAGTTGAATTGAGAACTAGACTTCCATTTCTACGGTACACGACTCAGTGTAGCGATAAGAATGATTGAACTTTCCAGCCTTCGAGGCATGTATTAGTGACAACAAAAGGTCACCACATCATAAAGCTCTATATGCATAAATGCTATGTGTTTGTGCTAAACGCAGATGTATCGGATATTTTTGTAAGTGAAGACGCGTCTACATCATGCTGACCAGGGCAAGTGTTTCTATGCTGGACTTCCGTATCTCGGGAAGGCTAGCGGAAAGAGGTTTAGGCAGAACGCGAACCTGTCGCGCTTCTAACACACGGGTCGGCGGGGCGCGAAGTACAGCCTTCAACCATCCCATTCAAAAACACCTGAAAGGCTCTTAGTATAGCCTGCTACAATGACACACAACTTAGCTATCCTACGCTTGAGTAGATAACTTAGAAGTCTGCATTATTATTAAATTTCCATGCTTCTTGACTAAGTGCTGTTGTATATTGCAAAGTTAAGAATATACTGTCCGAACTTGTTCACTTTCTTCTTCGAATGGGGTGCTACGACTCCAATAGGAAAGGAACATTCTAAACCTCTAGAGAAAATCTTTAGTGAAGCACAACTCACACAAAAGAACCCTCTTCGAAGACAGCGTGAGAACATCGTCCGAATAGTTGATCTATATTCTTGATTATGAAGGTTTTGTTAAACCTCAGTGTACAAAGCACACGCGAAAAGACATGAATACTAATGTAGGCAAAAGTCTCCACGATGACGCTATTTGCAAAGAGCGCCAGCGTCTTGCATGTTCATTCCAAGGTCATCTCGTCGCGTCGAGCAAGCCGACAAGGTTGAAGCAGAAGTCCACTTCCTTGCCCCATACATCGTGCGCGTACACTCAACTGGATTGTCGGCTTCAAAAGACATCCCCCGCCTTCATTCGTTGGGTGTCTTGGTGTAGGGAAACACCTCCTGGTCTGTATCGTGCCATTCTTGCGTCAACAGCGTGGAAATCTCCTCGTCGTCTTGGATCACATCCTCCAATATATCATCCTCCAGTTCTGCTTTTGGAGGTTGTTGAGAGAGTTGAGTGGTTATCTCCTCGTCATCTTCGAGGAACGCACTAAGGCCGTAATCTGGGATCTGAGCCAGCGTTAGGGGTGGAGAAGTAGCTTCGTGCTTAATGAGAGAAAGGGGCATTTGTGAGCCAAGGCTCGAGAATGGTGTCAAAGAAGCTGAAATTGTGGATGTGGCCCGATAGGGTGAAGCACCTCGGTAAGAGGAAGAAGAATTGTATTCCGAGTGTGGGCGCAATGGAGGAAGGTCGAGGTGGGATGCGCAATTGATGATCGGAGAGATCACGCCTAGGCCACCGGGTTTTTCTGATTTGATGAGCTTCCCAGTAGGAGGATGTAAATATGGCAATGAAGACGATGTATGTTTCTGCCCTTGAGACTCTGGTCGCGAGCTACCGCCCTTGCGACCCTGTGGAAAATCAGGACGTAATTTGCTTAGATTTTGCAGAACTCGCCCTTTCTCGCGTATCCTAGGTAGAAACAGTGAGATGGTTGGGATGGACCGACTCGTAGCTGCACGACTGGATATTGAGATCACTCTTCATGAACACCATTCTGCACAACATTGTGAATAGGTAGGCTGCAAATTCCGGCAGTGGATGTCAAGTGGACATATTATGTAGAAACCCGAACCTGGTGATTGGTTTGGTGGAATCGACGGGCGGGTATATATGAAACATGTATTTAACAATAACACGAAGGAGCGTATTGCGTATAATATGAACAAGGCAGAGTGATCACTAGGTCGTGGGAAGAGAAGATCAGTTCTTCTTGTCTACCTCCAAGGAGGACGGAAAGAGAAAGCATGCCAAGCTTCATCACATGACAGATCAGATGCCGAGGTCGACTAATAGGTAGGTATGCAGCAACACAACATGGAGACTATCATCTTGACTACCGCACACGAACATGGCTTCTTCAACGCGCTACGCATATCCCTTCGCCGCTTCCCCTGATATCATCCGGTCACACCAGAAAGATGCCTACTTCTCCGGCGTGCTTCTGGATCAGCTCTCGACACTATTGCGCAAGCTCTATGGCGCGCGCATCGCGCATACCTATGCATCCGAGACGCGTGTGCTCGGGGAGCTACTTTACCTTGGTCTGACCACGCTGATAGGAAATCGGACATTGGGCGAGGAATACACAGACATTGTTCAGGTGGAGAGCGAAAGCGGACGACTGCCGGCGCTGGGACGGAGAGCTGGATACATACTGAGCTGCATATTAGGGCCATATGTGCTTGGGAGAGCACTGCCGGCCTTTAGAAGAAGAGTGCGCGCGAAACTCGAGGCAAACCTGCGATGGTATGCGCGACAGCAAGCGCGAGCACAGCAGCAGGCACAGGAGAATGGGAGCAAGACACGGATAGGACGACCTCTAGGCATGTGCCTGCAAAGCTACATTCTCGAAAACCTTGATACCATTACGTCGCCATCGCCCGTCTACGCCCTCTCTCTGGCGACATTCTACTTCTCGGGGAGCTACTACCACCTCTCGAAACGCATATGGGGGCTACGATACATCTTTACGCGCCAAGTGCCAGAGGGGGATAATCGCGCCGGCTACGAAGTCCTAGGTGTGCTGCTAGTTTTACAAATGGCTGTACAGGCATATCTACATCTACACAATACTGTCACCTCGTCGACGGCAGCAGTGGGTGGCGGCCACCCGCAAGGTACATCAGCCATTGTAGGCGGCGGCGCAGAAGTCTCGCTGGATCCCAACGCCTACAGCGCCAACAACGCGTTGTTATTCGACGCTGCGTCCGCCCTCCCCACGGCCGCGCCATCAGACGTGCAAAAATGGACACACACACCTGCGTTGGACAAAGCAAGATATGAGCTAGAGAACGAGGAGACAATGGGATGGATTGGTGGTGGCAATCGGAAATGCACTCTTTGCCTGGAAGAGATGAAGGACCCGAGTGTAACGACATGTGGACATGTCTTCTGCTGGACGTGTATCGGGGATTGGGCTCGGGAGAAGCCCGAATGTCCGCTTTGTAGGCAGACGTGTCTAGTGCAGCATGTGCTGCCGCTGAGGGGTTAGGTGGGCGGCATGTCGAATTACAAAATCTTCTCTGCCTCATCTATAAGTCGTTCTACTTGAAATGCGCTGTCTCCGCGAGTGAACATGTTGAGTAGTTGGCTGCGTGCCTTGCCCTCTTCCGTCTGCACGTAAAACTTCTGCATGCACATGACGAGCCATCTGGCCTCGTCGACGCTTACGCCTCTGTTCTCGATAACCAAGCCCTGTCCCAGAACCAAGTTGTGGCTCTCGGCGAGCTCCTGGTGGAAGGTGATGGTGGTGTGCGGACTCGCAAATTCGCCCCTCAGCTTGAACTCTGCGAGCGTTGTGAACATGAGCGTGGTAGTATCAACGTGTGGGTGGGAGAACTGCAGATAGTGCAGCTCGGCGGCTTGCTGCGTCTGTGGCTGTTCCTGTGACGCTGATGAGGCGTCGGCGGGTATCTCGCGGGGACGGGGAGGACAAACGAGGGGTGTTGTTTCGCGCTGCGGAGGAGCTGGGAGAAGGTCGTGGCTGGAACGGCGAAATGAATGCTCTGCGGGTTGGCAGCATGTCGAAGGCGCCACAGGGCTTGGACTTCCTTCTCGGGGAGAGTCTGGACTTTGTCGAGGTCGAGGAAGGAATTGAGCGTCTTGACGCCTGGTGGTGGGGCGGTGGGGGAGCCCGAGGCAGCGGGCGGCGGAGGGGGCGACGGCCAGGGGCTCTTTGGTGGCGCTTGTGTTGTTGTTGTTGATGATGATGATGATGTGGTGGTGGTGGTTTCTGGCGGCGGTGTCAAGGGACCTGTCGCGCCGGGCACAATGGCCTGTTTCCTCAGCTCCTCGATCCTGTCCTTGTACTGCTCCTTGAGCTCGTCAAGGTCCTTGAGACCCTTTTCCCGCGCCTTGTGCTCGAGCTTCTCCTTGTACTTGGCGAGGATGCGCTCCTGGGAGTCGTGGGTGACGAGGAAGCGGCGAATGTCTTGCACCTGAGCCCAGCGACGTTGAGTGGCGCGGGGGTTGACGAGGGGCTGGCGCAGGGCATGGCGCAGCGTGGGGATGCGGAGAGACATGGCGGGGGACGGTCGAGACACGGGCCAGAGCACTTCCGGGCGTGTGGTGATGTTCTGGTGGTGGTAAGATGAGAAGAGACGAGACGGGACGCAAAAAGAGCTAGAGCTAGAGTGGGGGACCCGCCTTAATGCAGGGACGGGAGCGTTTATGGCTTTGTCTTAACGTTACCTAGGCACATCCCACCCGACATACATACATACATACCGCATATAGCATATAGCATATCGCATATTGCATACCGCATACCGTCTGCCCGCGTATCATCCATGCAGAACCCGCCCTTCCTGCACACGACCCGTCGGCCCCTCTCATCCTCGTCGCCCTCGACCTCGTCCTCGACGGGCTGCTGCTAGCGGCATGGGTGCAGTCAACAGCAAGGCGGGCGATGCAGGCGCCCTCTACCTGCGCGACCAGACTCGCTGTAAGCCTCAATTGGCGCCTGTCCCCAGGCCCGCTGCCTCGACAGAGCTCTGCTAACCCGCCTCCAGTTTCGGTGGCCTCGCTCAACATCACCAACGCCCGCAACCGCACGCTTCTCAACATCTCGCCCAACGCCTTCCCCGCGACCCGCTATGCTGCCAGGCGCGAGTTCGGTGACGACAGCGTCATCGAGTACATCCAGGACCCCGAGGCAGTGCCGCACGCCGACGGCCCTCCCGCCTTCCTCATACGCCTGCCCAACGACGAGGAGCTGACCTTCAACTTCACCTTCATACTGCGCCAGCACCTCGCAGTCCCCACCATTTACAGCGCCAACACGGCTTCCCAAGTCGCCCCCACCGGCCTGGTCGACACCAACATCAACGGCCTGACCTTTGTCTTTGCCTCGAGCTCAAAGGACCTGGACAACCTGGTCACGCGCGAGTTCCACGCCAATCCCAACCTCCACAAGAACCCCCAGGTAGAGCTAGTCGGCGATTACTCCACCGGCGGTCACTCGTCGGTCCAGTTCCAGTGGTCGTGGAAATGGACGCCGCCCCGCACCCCCGAGTCGCGCGGCGGGGGCTGGCGCACAAGTTGCAGTGTGTGTATACCAACTTCTCTCCATGGCGGCGACTGCTGACACGCTCAAGTTTGTCGAGTATGACCAGCGCGCACACAGGCTCGAGACGCTGGCGAGCTTCACATTCTGGGTCCAGAGTTCGTACCCCGCCCTGTTTCCCAACATACCCGCTGACCAGTCCAGACACGGCGCGCCAGCTGCAAAGCCCGAAATCTCCCTCACCACGCCTAGAACTCGGCGTCCCTCCCCGACTGCGCGTGCCGTCTGCACAGTCGATAGAGTCACGAGTGAGCGACTCAGCGGGCGAAGACCGTGAGTGGGACAACATACCACCGAGATCACCAATCTGCGAACCCATTCCAGAGCATAGCCTAGGCCTCATACCAAGCCAGACAACCACTCTGTCGAGCGGGAGTGCGCAGGTGAAGCTCGACGTGTCGCGCCCGGGCGAGGATCTCAGTCAGACCGACGATGGGCCGCTCTTCCGCGCCACGATGAAGTCACTCGAGCAGAAGACGGGCAACATGCGTACAAGGTGGAAGAAAGTCCTCAAACGCGCCGAATCTGCCATGGAAGCCCAGGCGGCATGCAACAATGCCATGGCTGACCTCATGGATGCGCTCAGAGAGGCCTCGTCGTCCAACGCAAACGCAGTGCAGCCGGCCATTGATCACTACTTTGACAAGATTGCCAAGGAGATCCTTGGATACGAAAAGTCGAATACCACCAACATCCAAAAACTCATTATTGATCCCATATACAAGCTTTACAATATCGACATCAAGCAGGCCGAGACAAAGCGCAAAGACTTTGAGGAGGAGAGCAAAGATTATTACCAGTACCTGGGAAGATACCTTGGGCAAAGACAAGATTCACTGAAAGAGAAGAAACGCGCCGAGACGGATTCCAAATACCAAGCAAAGAGGCGCAACTTTGAGCTGAAGCGATTCGACTACTCATCCTTTATGCAGGACTTGCATGGAGGCCGGAAGGATCAAGAGGTCCTTTCCCACCTTACGCGATATGCCGACGCCCAGGCTAAGCGCTACCTAGAGACTGCAAAGAAGATCGAGACCATGTTGCCACATCTAGAGGCTCTTAGTTGCGAAGTGAAGGAGGCAGACAAGGAGTTTCAGATTCAGAGGACCGAAAGAGAAGAGAAGAGGCGAGCGCTGGAGACGATCAAGAAGACTTTGGACGACGTGCCTGCGCCTTCGCTCACATCTCCTGCAGCATCATCGGGTAGTGTGCCTCGGACAACGTCGAGGTCAGACCCAGAGCCACCTCCTGGCCGCAAGGGTAGCCTTGTGCCCATGTTCCAAAGCACAGTAATGCCTCCCCAAACTATCTCATCTACAAGCATTCCCTCCTCAATAGCACTACCGCAAAGTCCCGAGGCCACCAAATCGAGTCTGGCAATGGTGGCGCCGCAGCCGGACAAGTTCAAAGGCATCAGAGATCTCGAAGAGAAGGACCCTGCTGCAATGGCTGAAGCTGGTTCAGGTGCGCATCGCAAAGAAGGTCTTTTGTGGGCACTGAGCAGGCCTGGAAGCCATGTGGATCCCAAGGGCTTGAACAAGCAAGCCTGGCACAAGTGAGTACAGTCTTCACCAACCAACTAAAACCGTGCTGACAATCTCCAGGTTCTGGATCGTCCTTGATCAGGGTAGACTTTCAGAGTACACCAACTGGAAGCAAAGTCTGGAGCTCCACATGGAACCAATCGACCTTCGCATGGCTTCGGTAAGAGAAGCACGCAATGCGGACCGCCGATTTTGCTTCGAAGTCATCACCCCACAATATACTCGAGTGTATCAGGCGACCAACGAAGAAGACATGAAGTCATGGATCAGTGCAGTCAACAATGCTTTGCAGACAGCCGTCGAGACGGCAGGAAAATCTGACCGGCCATCCACTGATTCACTGCCCGGACAAACGCATCGTGATATTGCATCAGTGCTTACCGGAAAGAGTCCATCAATGTCAAGCCATCGCAACACATACGGCTCCAAGGCACCCGCGCGACATGCTACAGTAGGCGATCGGCCTGGCGGTTACCGGCGGGAGGAGACGTTCGGCGACGAAGGCAAGCTGCTCAAGCAAGTCAGAGATGCAGATTCTAACAACAGGGTGTGCGCGGATTGCGGTACTGAGATCAAAGTCGACTGGGTTTCCATCAATCTCGGCATCATCATTTGCATTGAGTGCAGTGGCATTCATCGATCACTAGGCACGCACATCACCAAAGTGCGCTCTTTGACTTTAGATGTTACATCCTTCACCCCCGATATCATCGAGATACTGCTCAAGATCGGCAACCGCATCAGTAATTCTATATGGGAAGCAAGGCTAGATCCAGGGCTGAAGCCAGGGCCAATGTCGACGAGAGAGCAGAGGTTGCACTTCATCACGTCAAAGTACGCCGATCGAGCATTCGTGGCACCCATAACACCGAACATGTCGCACTACGCAAACCCAGAGGAGACGCTTTTAGCGTCGGTTAAGAAGAACGACATTCAGAACGTACTCTACGCGCTGGCACTGAGAGCGAATGCGAACGCACGCGATCGATCACGAGGCACGCATGCAGTATTTCTCGCGCTTGCAGCCGCCGACCCAGCGTCCCCTTCAGCCACAGCATCACCTGCAAGCTCTCCAGGCTCAGGCGTCCGCCCAGGCACAGCACAGCCTACGCGCAAAGCCTTCCCCGTCGCAGAGCTGCTGCTGCAAAATGGCGCAGAGTTGCCGATGCTGCCGGCGCCCATCCCACTTGGGCACTCGGCACGAAGCTATCTTGACTTCAAGACAGAGCAGCGTGCTGGCAAACGTCCAGCACCCATGGTGGGAAGTCAGCCCCCACCCAGCGCAGAGAAATTGCCGTCGTTGCCGCCTATCATGGCAGGAAACGGCAGCTCTCCGTCGGAACGAGCGCGGGAACGGGACGCACGACTGCAAAAACGAGTTTCGGCGAGCGGAAGGTTGGTCAAAACCCCAAATGTGGACTTGAGTGAAGGTAAGCGCGGCTCGTAGGGCTAGCTGATGCTTATTTGTTTTCTGTTCTTCTAGCGTATACCTTGCCTGGGCGGCGTGCGGACTTGTGCGATGGGCGTCAACGGGCTGAACAACTCACGGTCGACGCGAGGAGAAGAAGAGTGCAATCTAGTTCACGTTGGATGGGGCGCATTGCGGTTATGCGTGCGGCCTGTGATGCATTGTACCATGTTTCCAGTGGGCGGCGATTGGCTTATTCTCTGGGAGTCACGTTTGACTCAACGGCCTTGCAGTCATATCTTCGGCGTGTTGTGTGTATAGTGTAATGAGTAATGGCAGAACATAAGAGTCACGACGTTGTGTGATTGTGAATTCCAAAGGCTGTGAGTCGGAATGGCGGTCTTTTAACGACCCCACTAGCGCGCACCAAAATTCCCTGGGTCGCAAAGTTATAACCAACCCGCACCCCGCCGCCGCAATCGCACTCACCACCGCAATCATGGCATCCGCATACTCTAACCTGCCCATGGACGGCGACGACGAATTCGACGAGAGCCAAATCGACTTTACCGACATCGAAGACCAGTTCCAGGTGCGGCTCGATGAGGGGCTCGACGCCTTTGTCGTGATCGATGGACTGCCTGTAGTGCCCGAGGACAGCAAGGCCAAGCTCGTCAAGTTTGTGCTGAGGAAGCTGAACAGCGTGGGCAAGGTCAAGGACGATGGCGTGCACATGCCCGTCAGCGAGGCGGGCAAGACCGAGGGGTACGTTGTATCTGGCGCCGAGGGCGCTGGCAGACTGGACCTGGGCTGACGGCATCACAGATATGCCTTTGTCGAATACAGCGCGCCCGCCGAGGCCGTCGCGGCCGTCAAGCAGCTGAATGGAACTGCGCTCGACAAGAAACACACCATGGCCGTCAACAAGCTTACCGACATCGACCGCTACGGCAAGGAGGGACGCATCGACGAGGAATACCACGCGCCCGAGATCCCGCCCTTTGA